CAAGACCTATGTAGGTCATGAGGTGCAATGGGAGCATCAGATTCGTGGAATTTCGATTTATTCGATCAGAGAATGCTATTGTGGTCCTGTGAGTAAAGTGGTGCAAGGTGTGAATTCAGCTAAGATATGCAGTCATGTTTTGGTGCTGCGTATAGTTANGTGGTCGAAATTAAATTTCGGGAAGTTCAGAGTTGACTTGGAGAGGAAATTCTCATTTCGGAAGCTTTAAGTTGAGAGAATTGACTAGGATTGGATATCAGAGTAAACGACCTCGGAATCGGGATCTGAAGGTTCCAGCAGGTTCGTATGATGATGTCGGACTTGGGCGTATTCCCGAATCGGGTTTTGGGTGACCCGGGAGCGTTTTGGCACCTATTGTGGAAGTTAGCATTTTGGAAGAAATTTCATAAGTTTGGGTTGAAGTGCATTTCAATGTTATCGATATCCGTTTGGGATTCCGAGTCTGGGAATAGCTCTGTATGGTGATTCTGGAGTTGGGAGCGCGATCGGAAGTGAATTCGGATGTCCGTGGAGCATTTTGGAGCCATTTGGCTAAGGATAGAAATTTGAAGGTTTTCTAGAGGTTTGACCGGAGGTGGACTTTTTGATATCGGGGTCGGAATCTGATTCCAAAAGTTGGAGTAGGTCCGTAATGTCGAATATGACTTGTGCGCAAAATTTGAAGTCAATCGGACGTGATTTGATAGGTTTAAACATCGAAAGTAGAAGTTTGAAATTCAAAAGTTCATAAAGTTTAGATTGGAGGTCGATTCGTGGTTTAAGCGTTGTTTGATATGTTTTGACTCATCGAGCAAGTCCGTATCGTGTTTTGGAACTGGTTGGTACGATTGGTTGGGGTCCCGGGGGCCTCGGGTGGATTCCGGGTGGTTAACGGATCGAATTGGAGCTTGAAGGATAAGCTGAAGGGGTCTGGTTGCTGGTATAACCGCTTCTGCGGAGGGGTCACCGCAGAAGCGGCCCCGCAGAAGCGAGGATGGGAACCGCAGAAGCGGTTAGATGTGAAAGGAGCAGGGACCGCAGATGCGGGGGTATTGGCCGCATCTGCGCAAGAGCAGAAATGAGAAGAAGGACCGCAGAAGCGGTGATTGGCGCAGGTGCGATGAGGGCTCCGCAGATGCGGACTCGTAGAAGTGGCGAGGAGTCCGCATGTGCGGTAGTCGCTGGGCAGAATGTTTTAAAAAGCGGTGTTGAGTTCATTTCACCCGTTTTTCTCTTCTTTGGGGCGATTTTGGAGCTTTTTGAGAGGGACTTCCACCTAGCAACTTGGAGGTAAGTTAATCCCACCTATCTTGAGTTAAATACATTGATTATGTATGGATTTTAGCATGTAAATTGGTAGAAATTTGGGGTTTTGGTGGAAAGACCTAGAAATTTATATTCTTGGAATTTGACCACGATTTTGGGCATGAAATTAAGAGGAAATTATATATTTGAGTTCGTGAGGCCATGGGTAAACTTTATCTTCGAAAAATTTCGGAATCCGGGCACGTGGGCCCGAGGGAAATTTTGTCAACTTTTCGATCAGGGTTAGGAATCGTTATAAATTGGATTAATATGAGTAGTTTATCATATATTAATGTATTTGCATAATCATTGGCTAGTTTTGGAGTATTTAGCATCGATTCAAGTGTTTGGAAGGGCGTGGAATGCCGGTTATGGATCTTCGGAGCGAGGTGAGTCTCCTTTCTAACCTTGTAAGAGGGAATTGTCCCCATAGGTGAAATAATTAATTATGTGCTCCTATTTGTGGGGGCTACGTACGCTCGAGGTGACGAGAATCCGTGCATAGCTACTAATATGTGTAAGTCCGGATAGTCTAGGATCCAAAAGCATGTTATACTTGGAATATTTGCAACCTTATTGATAGTTGAGTCGCTTAAATCCTATCAAAGTGGTAAATGAATTTCTAAAAAGAATTAAACGTCATTTTTCTAAATTGTTAAAAGAGAATTTGGTTTTCTTTGGACAATTGTTTCATGATGACTTCTTGATTGATTGTCTGTGCGTGTTTAAATTCTGGAACTTGCCGAACGCCTCGGTAGATTAAGTAGATGCATCTATGGTTCGTGTCGCTCGACCCTCGGTAGTGCACAGTTTATATTTCTGTTGGATCGGGCCATACGACCTCGGCATGTATTGCGCATGCTTGTATTGCTTGCCTTGAGATTTATTGATATTGTTGTCTGCTCTCCCGGCTTGAGATAATTATTATTTAATGGATTATGAAACCGTAGACTTTAAATAAAAAGGAATTTTCACCTGTTTAGTGACTCATTTAATTTTTACTGTTTTCGTGAGTCATCGCATAAATAAAATAACTGGACCTTTAGTAAGTGTGAAGTTGCCATCTCGTCTCTACTTCTTCGAGATTAGGCGGGATATTTACTGAGTACACGTTGTTTTTGTACTCATACTAGACTTCTGTGTATTTTTGTTGCACAGGCACATGCACCTCTAGTGGCTTAGTGGGCGTAGCAGCATGGTTGGCACGGAGACTAGGTGAGCTGTATTTCCTCGAGGCGATCCGCAGCTAGTATAGTCTCTCTCAGGATTTTCTTTATTTTCTGTCTAATTGTATTCCGGACAGCTGTTGTACTTTATTCGATTTTCTTAGAAATTGCTCATGCACTTGTGACACCGGGTTCTGGGATGGTTATGAAGTATTTTGTATTAATTACTTATCATTTAGTTTGAGTTGAAGCGATTATCTTTTTAATTGGTATATTTGAAGGAAAATCATAGATTTCAAGAGTATTAAAACGAAAATTTAATTAAGTATTTTTGGTTGGCTTGCCTGATTGTGGTGTCTGGCGCCATCATGACTCTTAGTGGATTTTGGGTCGTTACACAACCAGTTTGGAGAGTGTTGAAAAAAAAAAGGAAAAAGAAAGAGAAAAAAAAAATCAAAATCAAAGAAAATACAAAAAGAAAAGAAAAGAAATAGAAAATACACCTCATATTCCTCTTATCCAAGCTAGTGAATGCGTAGTTGTGCTTAAAGAAGAAGGGTCAAATTGTATATGATTTTGTGGCATTGCTTGAATTGGTCACGAAGAGTGTGTATTTGAAAGCTAAAGAGTAGTATATTAAAGTGATTAGGATGGTGTGCCACTATTTTCCCAAATAGACCCGTCCTTTAGCCAATATTACACCCGTAAAGACCTAATTGATCATAGACTTCACAAGCTTATATTAGTAGAGACATACACTACGGGCAAGCCTATGGTACGACCTCGGGATGCACATGAATTTCTTTACGAGAGTGAGTGAATTCTTTCGGGTTCTAAGTCCTTAAATTATACTTAAATGTATATTTGGGTGTGTGGACTAATTTCTCTCTTTGATTGTGGTGAGAGCGCATGATTTATAAAGGATTGGTAAAGTCTAGGCATTTTGAGTTGACACAAGAAGTGAGTCATAGTAGGGAATGTATTGGCGTCATCTTTTGAGGTTAGGATGTTAGAAGAAGTCACACAAATATTTTAAATAGTCTTGGCATAGGTCTAATTTTGAATAAAGATGTCGATAGTTCTTATGTTGGGTTCTAATTGTTGATATAAATCATTGTCATTGGTAGGATCCTTGAGGATGTTTTGAAAGGTGTTTCTTGCCATTGTGCTTAATTTTGAAAGTTGCTCGAGGACGAGCAAGAGTTTAAGTGTGAGGTGTTGATAAACGGTGAAAAATGCATATTTTTTAGTGTACTTTCATCTCGTAACTGGTGTGAATGTAGGAGATTACATGAGTTTTTTGTAGTTAATTATGCTAATTACATGCATTCTTATATGTGGGAGCAAGTTGGATCAAAGATGAGCAAAAGAAGTTGATTTGGGACCAAAAGACAAAAGAAGAACTTTGCTCGTTCACTCTCGCGTGCACACAAGAGAGTGAACGAGCTAGCTGAGAGGAGCTTGGAAAAAAAACAGCGGATTAAGGCAAAAAGGCATGGAAGTGCACGAGAGACCTAGAAGAAAAAGAAAAAGAGAAGAACTTCGCTCGTTCACTCTCGTGTGCGCACGAAAGAGTGAGCGAGCTAACCTAAAAAGGCTGTTCCAAATTTGGCTTGTATTATTTCGCCCTAATCAAACCCTATCCTATATAAATAGTCCTTAAACTCACTTTTGAAAGGGAATTCGACCTAAGGAGGCAAGAACACACAAGGAGCAAGGCGGAGAATTCTTCTACGAGTTTTTCACTTTCTTCTCCTATTTCCGTTATTGGTTATGAATTTTAGTATTGTAGTTTTACATACTTTTATGAGCAGCTAATTCTATTATCTTTGGTTTTGATGGAACCTTTTGTAGGATGAATTCTTGATACGTTTTGATATAATTGAGTCTTTGAATTTTTCGATTTGTTCAATTACGTGCTTATTTAAGTTAATTGAAGAGCTTACAATTAACGGTGCTTATTTATTATGTATTGCTTGAAAAAGAGTACATATTTAGGTGGATGTAGAACAACATCACTCCTAACGCATATGAAAGGTCAATACGGCAAGTTTAAAAGCGAGATTAGAGATAATGAAGTTTTGACGTGATCATAGTGAGCGGTGAAAAATTGTCGAGCTAGTGTAATTCGAGCGAATATGACTAGTACATTATTGTAGTTGCTCGAAAGAGAATTACGATAAGTCGAGTGCTCACGATCAGTAGATAATAATTAGGCAAAATTATACAAGAAGTAGCGGAGGATTCCGACAATTGGAAAAATCATAACTCTAGACTTCCTTAATCTTAGCTCCAACCCTTAGTATCTTTAATTATTAATTTATTAGTTAATTAATTAAACATAAGAATCTTAATATTTCTAACTTAAAAATTGTTCGAACTTGTCCTTCTCGGTGATAGTGAACAGTCATAGCAAAACCTAAGCTCCGAACTCTTAGATCGGATTATATTTGCAACGACCGCTTATCATTTTTAAGACTAGAGTTGGGCGTAATCAATTAATTGCATTCTGCTTGATAACACGCGATGTCTAAAATCCCGTACTATTGAAAGTATTATATTTATGATATCGTTTGGCTAGGATTCAGCAAAGCTGTTAAGTTAAAAATCGAAGCCGAAAGAAAATTGCCTCTTATGAAGAGGCTGTAACAAGCAAAAAATAAATAAGAATAAAGTACAATTGAACCTATATGTGGAAAATATAATGATCATGTTCCATAAACAGCAGCCGCAATATACATTTTTCTTCATCATCGCAACAATTTTCCTGTACAGTCAACTGTTCGGATCAACTATTTGCCTTCTTCACCATCTACGGCCGAAGTTTCCGCGACCTCTTCCACCTCTGCCTCCAGAAAAGCGAGCTCTACCTCTCCTATCAGAGAAGCCACCACGACCACCACCAAATCTTCCACCTCTTGCCTGGTCTTTCTCTTGCAACCGAGGCAGTTCTTTTACTACCTCTAAGTTTACACCTTGGGTATTCTTCCCTGCAAAGCCCCACCGGGGTAACGGCAAAATCAATGAGATGTAATGAGAAAGAGCTTAGACAAGCTGCAACAATTTATCACTGATTATGGGGTTGCTTGAGTATATGGGTATTAAGAAGCAAACTATGATGAAGGCAGGCTCTAGAATAGAATTTTGTTTGGATGATTCTCATCTATCAATTACAGAAATGAAGAAACATACCTGCTAGAAACATAACCAGATCATCAGCAGATACATCAAAAACCGCACCCTTCCCATCAGCTGTCAAAGTAAGACCTTTGATTGATTCAACCTTGTCCTCTGGTAGGAACCTCCGCAAAACATTATATGCAAAGCTGCCATCATATTAACAAAGCAGAAAAGATCAACAGAGGAATTATTCAACAGAACAGCAGCAGGCTCTGGCCATAGCAGCTTTCACTGAGCTTCATCGTCATGGTATGACTTGTTAATTGGAGAAAGTAAGAAAGCATTTAGTGACATGGTTTAAATACTCACGAAGGTGCAAATATGGGCCTCCCACACTCAAGAAGTAGAGTAACACAGTTCTCCATGGAAGAAAGAAGCGACCGAGTCTTGATCTCAGAGTAGCCCTAGAAAGCAAGAGACCAGTCTAGTCAACCATAAGGCCCTTGGTTTCAACACCATACAAGTAATGAAGAGAAATACTTACAGCTGCCTTGGCAAGTGCCTTGGCAAGCAATTCTGCTGGTGATAGGTCAGAGGTGTTTAGAAGTTCTTCAGCAGCAGCCTTGAAAGCAGGTATTACACTACAGAGATTTGCAAACAAATGGAAATGATAAAGTGATGCTACATTAAAAATCAACCAAAGGCACAAATGAAAAACTTACCTATCAGAAATTTCAGCAACTGCTTCTGCTGCTTCTTTCCCAGCCGCTTTAGCAACATCAGCTGGCTGCGGAGCAGATAGATGCTCGAACTTCACACCAGATTCTCTTTCAATCCTAGAAATGTTGGACTTCTTAGGATCATAAAGCATTACCGCCACACCAGTATTTCCTGAATGGCATAACAAACAAATATAAGTAAGAATGTCCCTGAAGTCCAGTGATCAAAGAAAAGCAATTCCAACATCAGCAGCTCACCTGCCCGTCCTGTCCTTCCAGATCGATGAATATACGCTTCGACATCGCGTGGAGGCTCACACTGACCATACATGTTAAATTTAGCATTCAAATAACCAATAAGGCTGAGCATCCAAGTCGAATATGAATTTGTCGTATCAAACCTGAATAATTAATTGAACGTCGTCAATATCCAATCCACGGGCTGCTACATTTGTGGCCACTAATGTCAAGAATTTTCCTGATCTGAATCCAGAAAGTGTTACCTGGAACAGCATACAACAATCAGGGAAAGAGTTGTTAGTTGAGAATTGAAGGGATGTACCCCTTACCACAAATATAAAATTTGTTGAAGGAGTCAAGGAAAGTGACAAACAGTCAACTTATGCAAAGTCCTATTTGGCTTTTATATTCTTATCCATTAACAACAGAAGGTGATTACTCCTGGAGGAACTCTCATCCTCTTAAAGCAGCAAAGTCACCAAAAGGAGAGCGAGAAAGACGGCGAAACAGAGCACACAGAATAAAGCTATTTTAAACAAACTTTTACCTCACGCTGGGACTGTTGTATCTCTCCATGCAAAGCATGTGCCCCAGGCAATAAGCCGGCCAGCTCCGAAGCATAACCTCGTGTCTCGGTGAAAACAATAGTGCGGCCACCACTGATATTTCATGGGCAACAAAGAATGTTGGAGAATGAATTCATAACTTGATTGTCATTCTAAGAATTTCAATGGACAGATACTAAAAAAGGAGAAACAACCAACCTGCTGTAGCATCGAATAATATCAGGAATTAGCTGAGTACTGGCTGAACTAGAGCATGGTATAATAATATGTCTCACATTCTTACTGGCCTTCATTTTCTCATCACCAACAAGATCAGCTGTTTTCTTATCAGGTTTGAGAAACTTAGAAGATATCTGCCACCAAAACAGATAACTATTCAAGAGAGGAAAAAAAACGCAAGCTTATGACACAGAAGTTGTACATCTCCCTTCACCCCAAGGTCGCCTGTTTTCCAAGCCCCGCAAGAAGCAATTTGTTTAACTAAATAAACGAAGGGGCTAGAAATATTCCCAGGAGGAGAAAACACTGATTCGTACTTATAAAAAAAGAGAGATAATGAACTAACATGCTTCACCCAGCTTGGCAAAGTGGCACTGAAAAGAAGTGTTTGAACTTGGCTTGCATCTTCTACCTTGCCTTCAAAATTCAAAAGAGAAAAGGAGAAGAATAAACATAACAAAATCATTAAGATAACTAAGATGGGAGATCCCTGGAAATGACATTTAATGCACAGGCAAATTTCAGCTCCCAGAGAATATCAGGTTGACGTAAGTGACAGCACCGGATAAAGAGATGGTAAATGGTCAGAAAATGAGGGTAAGATAACCGCTGAATAGTATACCTAATATAAATTCCACATCATCAACAAAACCAATTTTCAGCATTTCATCAACTTCATCAAGAACACGGAACTTTAGAGACCTGAAATCAATATTTCCTCTTTCAATGTGGTCCTGCAGCAAAATTTGTAAGGAGTAATCTAAACTCTGTGAAGCATGAAAACATAAACCTACAGCAAATATTCCAGAGTCACCTAATATAAGACCGTTGAATATACTACCTTAACTCTTCCAGGAGTACCCACAACAATATCAACTCCTCGTTTCAATTGCACTTGTTGTTGTCCCATAGGAGAATTTCCATACAAACAACATGAAGTAAGCCCCACGGCCCGACCATAAAATTCAAAGTCAGCGAACACCTATAATTAACATGAAGTGAGAAAAGAGAACGCATAGGTTACACATTCGGTGAAGCAGTCAACTTGGGCAAGGCCTCTAAAATAATACCTGAAGTGCCAATTCCCTAGTAGGTAAGAGCACCAAAACACTAGGAGCCCTCCCATACCCTGTTTTCCGAGACGCTTTAGTAGGACCATTTGTCAGGGACTCCAATATGGGCAGCACAAAGGCCAATGTTTTACCCTGCAAATGTGGGAGCACAAAATTGAAGTAATAAATGCTTGCTAGTGACTATTTACTCAATGAAATATTTACAAATATGTCTTGTAATACTGGCAAATTTGGTTCATTAATTTTCTTATGCTAATAGAACAAAAGTGGGCACTATTCGTTTATCATAATGGTCAAGTAATGGACAGAAGTTCTTATCAACTCTCATGTTCTCAGAAAACTCATTTTAGATATACAATCCACATCAAAAGAGCAACTTGTGTATCTTACAGTAAGCCTCTAACAAATGGAGCGACGAAATGTGGGACATGAAACCACATAACACCAAAAAAAGGAGCTACTTTTTAGTAGGTCAGGTATTCAGTTAACAGCACAGGAATGAGAATCACATAAAGAACTAAGGTTCTATCTCTCTCCCCCTTAAGAGCCAAATGCATGTGTAGATGGTTATAGATGACTCCCCTAATCTTAATTTCCAAGGAAAGCATGGACATTGGTTATTGCATTCGGGGTTAGAATTTCCAAATGCCACAAACTAAACAGCCCATATTCAAACCAGTAAACATCAAGAGACCTTCAAATTTTACATGACAAGTTGCTATGATAGCCAGATTTTTGAAATATCAGCATGCAACTTTAAATTACAAACTGAACACAAAAAAATAGTAATAAAAATTAAGAATTTTCATTTCAGAAAGGTAATAGCAAAGAGTATTATATACCTGACCAGTGCGAGTTCGACCAACTAAGTCATTGCCATCAAAGATAGTATCAAAAGTCATAGCTTGAATAGGAAAGAGCGCTTGAATCCCCTTAGCAATCAGAGCCTCTCTTAAAGGAACAGAAATCCTAAAATTAGACAAAGCATTAGGATCCTCCTCTTTCTCTTCCTTTTTCTCCTCATCATCATCATTCTCCACCAATTTAGCCTTTTTCTTCTTCTTCGTCTTGTCATCCCCATTCAAATTACTCGGCTCCAGTATCTCCGAACTATCATCCTCCTCATCATCATCCAAGTTTAAAGCTTTTCGCTTCTTATCTTTCTTCTTACTCTTCTTAAGCTCTTCTGAATCAGACCCAGAATCAATCTTGGTCTTTTTCGACTTTTTAAGGGTGTCGGCGGATGATCCTTTTTCGCTCTTCTTCATCTTCTTCTTCAGCTCCTTCGGCTCTTCAGACCCAATTGTTTCACTTACAACAAGTGCAGGCATGAAAAAGGTTTTGTGAGGAGATGCTGCAAATGGTGTGGCAGTTAAGCTGCAATAGCAGGAGGAGGAAAGAGGAGGAAACTTGAGTTTAGGGTTTTTTATTTATAAGGTTTGGCGGTGGGATCGCTTCGAAGCCCTTGGATTGCAAATGAGTCCTGACGTTAATTGCTTACCGTCCGATTTTTAAAACATCCCCAACTTCGCGGGAATACTTTGACCATCAGCATTCAGCTCCTTCCTAATTGCTACTCTACTACTCTAGTATTTTATTTTTATTAAGTGTATGAATTTCCTTCTAATTAAAGTTAAAATTTTAGTGTTTTTATGTGTTTGATTATGAAAGAAGTGGAGAGAAATACAACTAACAATATTTTAGAATGAAGATTTTGATTTAAATTAAATCCTACTTCAACTGCAAAACTTCTTTTATTTTGATAGTGTAAGAAGAAATTTACACTTTGGTATATATAACTTACACTCAGGGATTTTTTGTGCCAAATATAATTTATTCAAGAATTACAATAATGGAATTAGTAATACAAAATTAACGTTATTAAATATTTGGTTTGTCGCACTAAAATTAATACAACATATCATGTAAAATACTTAATTATTTGATTCTTGCTTGAAGAATATTAGGACTTCGGACGCAAACAAAAGATCGAACTCTTAAATTAAATTAAAAGGCAGTCAGTTTATAATTATAACTTATGATGCTTGACCGTTATTAGCTTCTAGGAGAAAGACAGTGGTAGTTTTATGGCGAAATATATAAACGGCCCCTTCAAGTTGTCCTCAACGATCAACTGAACATCTTAACTGAGCCTATTTTCAGTTGGACACTTCTTCTCCACTAAAGTAGGACCTCGTGAACCCTTCACGTTGACATGGCAAAGTGTGTGCTTTATACTCAATTCTAAGCGCGTGAAACCCTCAAAATTAAGGGTTTTTTTTTCTTTCTTTTAAATTTAACTTTATTTTATGTGGGTCCCATTATATTTTATTTTCCACACATTAATTTCTCTTCCTTCCCAAAATATTCCATCTTCACCAAACCTCTTCTTCACCACATCTAAATCAAACAAAATCCACATTTTTAAATTTTAATCAGTTACAACAATAAACAATCCGATCCATGAATCTGGTAACCAAATAATTGAGGTTGGCATATCTCTTTGGGTAGGGAAAGTTAATGCAAACTTAGCCTCTTTTCTTCCTTTCTTCTTAACAAAACCACCTTAACCCACCATAAAACCATCATAGAGGGAAGGAAATTTTTTCCCATCTGATCTTGATTGAGTTTACCAAAAAAGGCAGAGTTGTTGCCCCCTTGTCTATTTTCATTGCAGTAGAAAGAAAACGAAAAAAATGATCTCCATTGCACAAATTTCTCCATTTTGACAATGGAGGTTGCATAATAAACTTTGACAATGAAGGATATGACTGATGCAGAAGAAGATGGAAGATGAAAGGGAGGGGGAAGAGGGAGGGCGGAAGGGGGAGGGGATAGGGATAGTGCTGCTCTTTACAAAAGTAAAGGAAGAATGTTTCTATTTCATTTTTAATGTATTATCTTTTTTTTTAAACTATGTGTCAATTTTTTATTCCAATTGACACGTGTCGTTTTTTAATTGGCTCATTTGACACATCATTGGCAAGTATAGCCCACGCATAAAGTCTTCAGCACTCGGGTGTTTACTTGATACACTTAATAAACACTTGAAGTGTCTAAATGGTAAATGGATCAGTTGGGATGTTCAGCTAGTCGTTAAGGACAACTTGAAGGGCCGTTTATGTATTTCGCCTAGTTTTATCCATTTAGTGCTTTATATATGGATAAGTTATTTCACGTTACCGCTGACATAAAATAATACAGTAATTGGTATATTAAGTTATATAAGAATTAATTATACGTGATTTAAATTACAAACCAAGCATCGAATAAAGTTATACCAAATTTTATATCATAATTATTTCATCTATTCTTCAAACCAAACAAGTAATCAGAGTATCGTTTGAAGGAATGAGATGGTGCCTCGACTTATGTAAATATTGCACGGGGCGTCTTATCTGGTCGCCCACATTTAAGTTATACCCATTTTTTTAAAAAGTTTTAACTTGTACCCACTTTTTAAACAACTTCAGTCCCCTTTCTCCTCCTCCTTCTCCTCCTTCGTTTTCTTCTTCTTCTTCTTCTTTCTTCTGCTGCAGTTGGTGCTGCTATGAAACTTCAGTTCAGGGATGATTGCCATAAGTATGTTTATCAGATTATTTAAAAATAAATTATAAATAATTACGTAAGTTAGCAGACAATAATTTGTGAATATTTCCACGTACAGGAAGTTTAAGGTCACACTTAGTGATTCTTTTCATGATAATTCTGTTCTTTTCACGTATATTTATTTCCAAAATTTTATGATTTAGATACTGTTGGCAATCTGATTATTTTATAGTGGTTTGATTATAACAAAACTAATGAATCCAGGACAAAAAAAACTTCAGCTTATTTAGTGCTGAAGTTTTTACAAATGAACTAAATAACTTCAGCATCTTCTGCTGAAGTTTTTGAAAAAGCTTATCCAGGACAAAAAAATTCCAGCTTATTTAGTGTTGAAGTTTTTATAAATGAACTAAATAACTTCAGCATCTTCTGCTGAAATTTTTGAAAAAGCTTAATGACAAAACTAATGAATCCAGGACAAAAAAACTTTAGCTTATTTAGTACAATTACAAATAAAAACTTCAGCAAATAGAGAACAAAACTTCAGCAACTATGCTTAAGTTCAGCAATTACAACAAAAACTTCAGCAAATAGAGAACAAAACTTCAGCTACTATGCTTAAGTTCAGCAATTACAAACAAAAACTTTAGCACACTTGGTTCAGCACACTTGCTACTTCAAGCCCGTCTACTAGAATGCTGAAGTTTTGCGTGATTGTCTTTGCTACTTCAGCCCGTATGCTGAAGTTACGCGGAAAAGTGGGTACGCTTACAATTATTTTTGTAAAGCGGGCACAAGTTAAAACGTGACCCAAAAAGCGAGTATAGATGCAAATCCCCCAACTTATTTACTAACTTTTGAGGTTGTTACATCTAAAGTATCAATTCATTATTTGGTCCTTTACAAAATGTCATTTTGCTTTGAGGATATTTTAAATTGTCGTCTTGGTTTATGACCCTTGTGGGACCTACAGGCCATCCAAGTCAGCATTTGTGATTGTGTTGGAAAATTGGTGCAAATGGCATCTTGCAATTAAAATATTATTAAACCATACAAAAAACGGAGAAAAAGAAGCCAACAAATTTCCTCCATCAGTGATCAGTCCAAGCTTCCCAAAACTTTCATTACGTGAAACAATAGCTGCATTGAGTTCATAGTTGTCTGGGCAAGTAATACATTATTTCAACTTTTGTTTTTTTAATTATTTTTTGAATTTTTTTGAGGAGGACGACTCAAAGAAGAAGATGAACCAGAAACGGGATTTGATTGTTGAAGCAGGAGATTTGTATATTAGCACTTAGTAGATAATAGTACAAAATGCAGGAGATTTGTGTTTCGAAGTAAAAGGTGAACCAGAAAAGAGATTTGACAGTGTAAGCAGGAGATTTATATATTAAAATGTAGGAGATCTTAGTAACAAATGTAGGAGATTTTTATATAATAAAACGTAGGAGATCTTAATACAAAATGCATGAGATTCTTTTGTTGAAATGCAGAATATATTAGTAAAAACTTTAGGAGATATTTATGTTATCATAAGAGATTTGATATATAAAGCATAGGAGATCTGTATATTAAATGTAGGAGGTTGCTATTATAAAATGCAAGAAACTGGTATTAATTGACTTTTATTTTTGCTTACAGGTGATCAATATATGTGGATATTAATGGGTGATTTGACTATTTGCATTGAGTTTGAGTCTAAGGAGAAGAAAATCGCCAGGCTGATCCATTATCGCCAAGGAGTATGTTATAATGATTTGGTAGAAGTAATATATTAGCTATGCAAGATAACATGTAATTCGGAAAACATTATTATGAGTTACAAGCCAATGGTTTTGGATAAAACTTGGCAAGAGACTCTGCATGATCTAATAGAGGATGATTTTGATTTAAAGTCCTATTTGATAATTGTTTATGAACGAGGTGCTAGGCCAATATTGAAAGTTTGTTTACATAAGGATGCAAATAAAATTGAAAAGACAAGTGCCATAAATTATGGAAGTGGTGATACACAAGTTATTGTGTAAAGCAATGATTGTAATATGATCCAAGAGCATTATAGTCCTATTGAGGAAAAGTTTGACGAACTTCCATTGGAGCATAACGTAACTCCCACATACCAATTTATGATTTTTGAACCATTTGTTCAGTAGAAGGTTATTTTAAGGAGGGAGAGAATTTTGAAATGTTATTTTGAAACGATCAAATGCTATAAAAAAATATGACTTAGGAGGATAGCTTTACAACCATGTTGAGCAACGAGTGTTGCAATGAAGGTAGATTTAGTGATCGTTCTGATCTTTTTTTTTTTTTATAAACATGGATATATATATATATATATATATATATATATATATATATATATATATATATATATATATATATATATATATATATTAGGGAATAAAGGTTACACCATTACCTATGTCCTTATGGGCATTTCCTACTTGGCTATTACAAAGCTTAGATATATCACTTAGGACATTTTGATTTCCTAATAATGCAAGCTTAGTGCATACATCCTTACTAAGTTATTTAACTAGATAAACAGGTCCTTCATGATCTGAAGTCAGAGCAATAGTTATAAAAAGAGGAGGATAATACATAATCTTAAGATCCCTGCCATTAGTCTCATGTAGAGCCCTTCTAGCTAGCTTGTGAGCATGCCTATTAGCTTCCCTGAAGTTGTGATGGATTCTTTGAAGATTCACCTGGAGCATTAATAACCTATAATCATGAATAATACTGTTAAACATTGTGTTTCCCTGGTCTATGCAATTTATGACGTTAGTTGAGTCAGTTTCCACTTCTACGGGAGAATATCCTTGTTCATGAGCAATACACAGGCCTTTTTTTAGA